TGGAAAATTTTAGCGTAAAGGTCAAGTCTCGATTCGATTGGTTGAAAGAGCGGAGAACAGGCTCACCGGTCGGCTTGTTTAGTTTTATTCTTCGAATTGATTTGCTTGTTCGAGCCGAGAGCTCCTTTCGTATTTCCCGGCAAGTTTCGTCGAAATGAAACGGTTAATTATTTTCTCGACCGAACTTCACAGAGAATGAGAAGCATTACTTTTAAGCGCTGGATTCGTGATACTCGATCCAGATGAAATTCGAAGAAGGAAGGGAGTTTCCAAGTTTCATCGCCGTGAAACATCGCGGGCATTTCTCTTCCGTCGCTTTTATATTTTCACGGTCCGTAACTTTTTAATCGTTCCTCCGGACGAAGCGCCGGAGATACTTGCGCGCGATTCGGGAGAGATTCGCTACGATTCTATGCGATTACGGTTCCATCGTTTGAAAATAAACGTTCGCTCGAGCACGGCTGGGAAAGAAGCAAATAACAAGATCAACGGCACAACGATTCATCGATTCGAACAAAAAGGGGGACGGAAGCGGCGGAAGCGTATCGGTTCATTCAGAATTCCGGTGGAATGTAATTCGAGGGGAAAAACAGACTCGATCGCCATTAATTCGCGAATAATAAACATCTCGGAAACTTATCGGAGGGAAATGGAGCAATAACTCAGAGGGGGATTGCGCCGCGAATATAACGCGATCGCGAATCGAAGCGCGGCGGCTGCTCGTTGCCATTAATAAGCGCGGAAAGTGTGGTCTTGCCGCGGAAAAAAGGACCGATAAGGTGGCAAAGAGGGTGAAAAGGGTGACGGGGGCGGCAGAAGGATCCTATTGTTCGAAAATACAATGTACGTTGTTACGGCAAAGCGCCGCGCACAGTTCTCGAGTACAATGGCTTCGGAGGGAGAAAGACAGACACCGTACAAGAGAAAATTGTACGGTTGTATGCAGCAACCCCGTGCACCTGTCCGCGTGTGTTCCCGAGCGAACGTGTGTCGGAGCAGAACGGATAGAAAGAAAAAAAAAAGAGCGAACAAAGGAGGAAAAGAGAGAAAGCGCGTCTGCGTCCCTTCAGATTCGCGCCGAGAGTGCGAGTTATCCGTTGGTATACGTACACATTTTTCACCTTTTCGTTTTTCGAATCGCTTCTTTTGTTCGCCATCGATGAATTATAACTCGCGGTTGTATCGGGTCTCTGGCCACGATCGGTTGTGCTTTTTATCGGCACACCAACTGTTCATCGCGGTTCGCGGTACATATCCTGATAATTGAAGCACTACACGGAACAAAACAGGACTCGTCGCCTGCCAGGAAAACAGACCGTGTCACACTATGGCCCGATAGAAATTGAAATTCATAAATGCGTAATCAAACGATTCTTGGTAATTCCTCGCGTGTCCTTTATGTTTCATTCAGAAAAAAGATCGAGAAATTTGGAATCTCGCAAGCGATACGCAACTGCGTCGAAGGTAGGTGAGAACGCGGTTCGTATTTACGCGCTTAACAAATATCGAACATCGAATCGAATACGAAGCGTTATCGCGTCCTTATTTATCGCTGCCCCTCGCCGAAGAATGTTTCGCTATTCAGAGGCGAATCTTTCTGAAAAGTTACCTGGCGTGATTTCGATATAATTGGATCGTTATCCGTTGCAAAAACCAGAGCGTATTTCCACGGGAATCAGAGTTGTTACTCCCGAAATAATGCGACTGTTCTAATGAAACTTTCAGCTAAAATTCTTTCTGCGGGCGATGATTCCCTCCGCGGTTGTAAAAATTGTAAAACATCGCGGGGTTCTTGCAACACCGTCGTTACCCCAGAGGTAAAAGAACATTCATTTAGCGAGACTAATGATACAGGGGCGAACGTTCAATCGACAAATAAGATCGAACTATCGGTGTAAGAATTTTGATTCGTTGATTCGCTGATGATAATCGAATGATAAACACTCGAATCGAGAGATGGTAGAGAGAGTGTGGATAAACAGTGGACTGGACAGTTTTCCTGGGGTAGTCGACGAAAGGAGAAACAAGGGGTCGTCGCGTGGAGGTGAATTCTCTGCGTGGTGGCCAGGGCATCACCTGTGCATCCTATGGAAACACACGCGGGTGTTTCGAACAGTGGTCGGAGGTCCAACTCGCAGAATGCAGATGGCTACCGCACGATTGTACAAACATACGTATGCTCTGATCTCCTAGCGTATTCTCTCTCCCGCTTTCTCCAGGGTCCTCCGTCGTTCTCCAAAGTCGCTATCTACCAGTGGCCATGTGAGCTCGTGGTGCACGGTGCATAGGCGCGGTACGAAACCATTAAACGGGAGAGACTGGTCGGTATCAGCGGTGCTGCAGCTGCAACTGCAGCCGTTAGATCCTGGGTTTTGTGCAACACCGTGTATTGTAACGGTCTGTCGAATAAAGGATCCTCCTCCGCTCGTATCGATTCATCCCTGCGAAATAACGCATCGCGAATTTTACTCGACGCTTTCCGTCCTCTCTTCGTCGAGGCGACCGATTAATCTTTTAATTATACTGTTTTTACGTATTCGTTCGAGTCGCTTTATTTTGGCACGGTTGATTCGCTCGGTGTTTTATCGTCGTCGGTCCCGGTATCGTTTTACTGCTGTTAAATTGCGTCGGTTTCGTGTCGAGCGCTCGGTTCGATTTTCCTTTTATCGGAGCGGCATTCTTTACCAGGATCGTATTATCCTCGGCGAAACTACCCCGGAGGTGAACTTTTTGTTCGTTTTCAGCGATGCTCGTCTCTTGAAGAATTACAGGGCGAAGAGACACCCGGTACGATTACTCTAAAGTGGTACCAAATTGTCGGATTTAAATATCAAAGTCCGGAGGAAAATATCAAGTTAGCCGGATCGTCACCGAGCTTCTCGAAGGTTTTCAATCTCGATGGAAGTTCTCGCCAAGATCGACGAGACGCTCCCAGGTCGGCGACAATTTTACAAACGTGTACGCGCGAAATTTATTCGTTTCAATTACGGTCAGAGTTATGATTTTTGTATGAGAACGGAGGGAACAACGATCGGCCGAGACTAGCTGTAGAAATTACTCGTGCGACTGTTTCAAGAGTTAAAATATTTCCTCGTTAAAGCAGTTTCAACACTCTCTCTCTCTCTCTCTCTCTCTCTCTCTCTCTCTCTCTCTCTCTCTTTTTTCGAGATTCTCCTGTACGTAGATTAATTAGTACAGCGTCGTTCGGGGGAAAGAATGGGAACGAGGGGGCGCCTTAATTACTATTCCAAGACACCGTAAGTTTCGTAATAACCGAGAGCAGCAGCGGCAGCGGTATAAGTAATGAATCCAGATGTCGTCGTCGCCGTCGAATGTCGGATCGAAAAATGACGACCCAAGTTTTCACCCGACTTTCCTGGTAACACCGTATTAGCGCGACTCTGTCATCCGATAATCGCAGTTCCCTTCGGCAACGAACGTGTCCGTTACAGGGAACAGGAAAGAAGTTCGTTCGTCGACGAGGGTTCGGTTCTTCGTCGCGAGAAGCTCGTTAAACATTGTTTCCAAAGATGGCAACGATATCTTTTCCATTTCTGTTCGCGTAATTTTTCCGAACGCTGGACGACGGTCGAAACTCTCGCGGACCAATGGAAACTACGTTAACCGCCGCGGCGTCGGCTTCGTCGCGACCTAATTTCAACGAGATTCCGTCGACGAGGAAATAAAGAGTGCCGGCTGACACGGGAGAGAACGACGCGAACGACGGTGGTGAAAGGAAGAAAGAGAAAAGATCGCCCGAACGAGCACGAGTTACAAAGCGAAAAGTAAAACACTCTGGCAGGCAGAAGTTAATGTTTAATTTAAGATAGAGCACTGACTCTTCGTTTGCCGTCTCTCCATCGGCTTCCGGAAAAGTTGTAACCCGGTGTTCCAGAAGGCAGACCATTCGGATCGATCGAGTTCTGGACTTGGTAACGGTCCATCGTAAGTCATGGTCAGGCGAGTTTCAGACACGTTGGGGAGAAGTTCATTTTCGTAGAAGCGTTTGAGAACCTGGAGAGTAACGCGTCACTCTGATAATCAGAAACACGTAATGGAAATACGCGATGCAAACACGATGCAAACAATTATTCGATAGAAAATTTCAGTCCATCCCGGTATACGGTATGGATTTTTCCCCTCTACCATTTATTTCTCGGAATCACGGTAGATGTAAACATCGCGAATTCCAAAACAGAAACACGTCATCGACATAGAACGGCCTTCTGTATTATACAATAGATGACGTGCTTCGCGATAAGGACCTTTCGTCCCCACCATTCGCGGAAAATTCGTTGAAACGTAAAGCCCGTTGGTATCGGGTTCGCGTCAACGGTCAGTCGAATCGGTACGGTCGCGCGTGGAAGTCACGTACGCTTACAGAAGCTTCGGTGGTTGTTGCCGAAACGATCGTGGCACCTCGAGTGTTATGACCGGTTTCCCAACTGTAGGACTTCTCATTGCTCCCTGCGGTGTAACGCGAGCATTCCATTCTTGCACGATAATCTCACTGTCGAGCCTCCCGGCTCTCGTAACACCGAAATTCTCGATGGGATTTTGCGGTCTTTACAGGTAGGCATTACTGGCGTACGTCGACGCGCCTTCCAGCAATTATTGCGCATGAAATGTAATCCTCGCGAAAACGTAGAAGGGAACGACTTAACAGCGAATATCTCGTCCGCGATACAAATGTTTCGCATTCCATTTCGAATGGCGTATTAATTCTATAATTAGATATTCGTGACTTTCGCGTCGCAGCTCTTCGCGGTTCGCTGAAAGCGTTGGTATCAACCGCGAATCGCGTACTTGTATTTTCGATATCGTCGTTCACGTTTTCCAAGTTTCCTCTTTAGACGCGCGTCGTCTTATTCCTCCGACTAACATCGCGCGCTTAATCCCCGAAGTTGACGAAATTTATTCTCGCGTAGACCCCGCCAAGAAGGCGTATTTGTCGTCGGTAATGGGCGCAACTCCACTTAATAATAATTTAACTGTTCCAGTGGCTTGTTCGACGGTGACAGTGACAAAGTGTCAAGCGGCTCTGCGCACTCTGCAAGCTTTCCCCTTCTTCCGACCCACGTGCCTCTGCAGAGAGCCGCATGTTGATCCGGATTGCAACAGTTTCCAGAACTTCCTCTTCGACCATCCCTGCATCTACGTCTTAAAGAAGGGTAAGTTTCCGAGCAGGAAAATTGTTTTATCTCTCCAAGAGTTTTGCAAGGCAATAACGATTTCCTTTGTAACGAAATTTCTTTTATACAAGCGGAAAATTATTATTATTATTAAACGTCTTTGTTGCGCATGTCTGCACAGAGTGCGTACATTCTGTACGAGAAGGGTTAATTTGTACAAAGACGAGGTACAGCTTGGGGCTGCTTTTCATCTTGACTTCGTAGTAATTACACGACGCAAGTAAATGTGAACGATGAAAATTAAGCGAGATTGAAAGCGTGTAAAACCGAATAGAATAATACGAGAAAGAAACGAGGAGAAGTTAGAATCGGTTCGCGACGTACCATGAAATTACAAATCCTTCGAATACGGAATCGCTCGGTCCTCGAAGTTTGGACTCGGGAATCTCGGCGACAACGGAAATCAATTAAGATCGATTCGGTTTCCATGAAAAAGCGTTCGAGCTCACGACCACGCGTTAATCCTCTAACAAGCGTTTAATCGGACCCGGGAGTCGCGATTGTAACGAGGGATTCCGTTCAGGTGTCAGGGAAACTTCTCTCGACGCTCTCGATCTCGGTCAGCAACGATCCTCGGGAACTTTTAACGAGCCGCGAACACGCGTTCCGCTCGGGACGTTTCCAATAATCTCGCCAGTGCAGCGCGGACCCGGCGTTCGCTTTCTTGTTTAACCTTAACTTCTGGCTGGGATTGCACGCACTCGAGACTAGCTTCTTCCGAAAAGAATCGGACCCGGGAGCTCGAGCACTCTCAGACGGAATCTGGTCGTCTTTACGTCTGCAATCTTGGACGATATTTACTCGTCGCATTCGTCGCGATTCTTCTTTGCACGAAGAAGATTATCGGAACTATCGTTCCGGTAATTCCACGTCGGTTCCATCGGAGATCCGGCGTGTTTCACCAAATTTTTGTCTCTCCGTTACTAAGTTACCGGCAGCAGTCATTCTTTACGTTGGAATTCGGAGCGTCAAGAGTGCATCGTCGCGTTTTACGTTTTAACAGGTGGGAAACACTACCGTGACATTTCAGGGTAGAACGAGGGTTCTTTATCCCTGCATGGTTCGGCAAATGTTTTGTTAACGAAGAGCGCGGTACGCAAAGTATTAGAAACTCCGAGAATCGACGCAAATTTTCCCATGTTGCCTCTGTCGCGAAAGCTGGAGCTCCTTGCGAAAGCAGCTGCTTTTCATGAAATTTACCACGAACGCTCTCAAGAGAAAAACTTGACGCGCGAAACTGTAAATGGCGTTAGCGAAGCTCCGGAACGATCGCGCGAGCAACGCATTACACCGGACGCACCGACGCGAAAAGCGTGGAACCGATTTCCTCTTTCTCTTTGCGATGTTCGAATTGCTCGGAAACGCTGGCAAGCTTCAAAGCGTTGCATAAGCTGCAACGGTTGCTTTCCGTGGACTCTGGAACTAACGTTGACTTCGGACGGAGCATCGCGCGGATCTTTGCCCGGGCAAAGGGAGGCGCGTGGCTTTGCCGAGGCCTTTGATTTCTTTTTCTTTCTTCCGGCCCGTTCACCCGCCGGCTTTCCCTTTCCCGCGATTCCTTTTTTCCAACTACGAGAGCGAGTTTAATCTCATTAAGTGCCGAAGCTCCCCAATCTCCAAACCACCGTTGCGACCAGCTCTCATTATTCGCGTTGCTCTCCCGTATGACCGGCTTTTAGTCGTTCGCGTCATTTACACGGCCGGGATAAACGTAATTAATCTCCTTATCGCTCGACTCATTTCTTAAATACTCTTTTCGGATTCTCGAACCCGCCACTTCTCGCATTTCGTACAATTTACGTACTCTTTGGCCAATCCATTTTCCGTCCAACGGCGGGAACTTCTCGCAGCTCACGGGAGCTTGTTTCGTTTCTTTCTTATTTCGCCAGACGGGAAAGCCGCTTTGGCGAGCGAAACGTTGGGGAGAGTAGTACAACGGTTGTTAGATCGAGAGATAATACAAGTTTACTCGAAAGCTGATACCGTAGTTAAATATGATTTGCAAATTTACATACTCTTACATAATGTTGGTTCGAACGAAGAGAAAAGATCTAATTTCTCGAAATTCGAAAAGTGCGGGCCAAATAAAATGAGATCGTTATCCAAGGCGCGCTCTGAGAGCTCGATGTTTCATTCTTGAATTTATCTTTTAAAGCGGATTTCACGAGTGGTGAAATCCCGAGACGCGAACTTATTTTCTTCCTTAATTGCTTCCTTCTCGAGATACTTCTGCTTTCCTTCCGAAATGAAAGCTTTAATTTCCCACGAACACTGACTCCTGATTCGTGCCACTTCGCTCCGACCATTTAGCTCCCTTCTTACATTTTTATTCAATTCATCGGCGAATGCTTTTAGCTACTCTCAACGCAGTCCATTCGATTTATTCAATCTATAAATGGCTAACTACCAACACTAAAATAAATTCCAAAACGATCCGTTTGAAATTCCGAATATAATTGTCTCCATCAAAGTACGAGGTACAAATTGTCGATTCTATTTTCGAAAGGTTCGGTCGACGCGAGTGAAAAATATCTTGTCAGTGTTGAAAGGACTTTGTACGTTTCCTGTCCTTGCCCTAACAAATCACGTTAATCGCTGGAAAGATATCGAATACTCGAAAAAGGTATTGGCCATTTTCGCGGATGCGACGCAAGAAAATTTGATCGAGGTGCTACTCAACCGGGCATTTCCTTTCGATAAAAAGACGCTGGAACAAAACAAAGGAATCGCGATATCTTTGACTGTAGCCCCTTTTATAACCTCCGCACCGTTGCGGCTTCTCCTACGATTTCCATTGTTCATTTTCCCGAGAGCTCACTCGTTCGGGCCGTCGAGCCTTTTGAGCATTTTTGAACGATTCACGGATAATTCCCAATGCGCTTCTTTTCACCCACGTCCGCTGTTCCAGCCGTGATCCTCCCACTGTCCCCTTCCCTCTGTCTGCATCGCGAATCCTCCCTTCTCTATCGCTTTCTTTCTCCTTTCGTCTCCGCTCTTACCGATGCTAAAAGAATGGGCTTTCCTCTTGCTTGTCGATTCCGCGAGCGAAACTCTCTTTTTTATCCTATCCTCTCACCCTTTCCGTTCATCCCCTCTACGGTCTCTGCTCCCCGCTATTATCCTTACTTCATCGAACCCTTTGTTTATATATATATCTCGCGCGCATTGCTACCTACGGTTTTTCTTCTTTGCTCAATTTTTGGAATAAAGCGTAGGCTGCCGTCGCTCGATTTCTTTTTCATTTTCCCCTTCGCCTTCGGTCCACCTCATCGCCGAACGAAGTATAGTCCACCCCGTTTAATTGCGATCGTTTTATATTATCGGGAAATTCACGGAGGTCTTTGAAATTATTCGCGAAAAAATTCCCTACCCTCTTCCGCCTTTATCCGGAAAAACCTCCTCGTCTCTTAACACAGCGCCCTCCCGGACCACGTTTCTTCCTTTGATAAGAGAATACCTTTATTATTTTCTAGTTTCTCTTTTTGCTTCAGTCCGGCGCCGACGCCGGGCGCCCGGCGTCTTCTTATTGTTTTTATTTCATTGGCCCCTTGCAGACGCGCCCTTTCATTATTTTTACGTGCGCGAGCCTCGCGCTAGCGGACGAGTAATTATTTTTCCTCGTTTCCGAGGCTGCAGGCGGAACGATGAATTCTACTCGTTAATAACGAACGAATTTTTCATTTAAGTATTTTTTCTTCACGGAATATCTCCCACCCAGTCTCGCTCGTTGTTCTTGGTTTTACGGTCCATTCGAGGAGTCTATTGTTCCCAAGCGAAACTCTGTCTCGGACGATTATCGAGCACGAAGATCGTGGATCGAGCGAGTGCTTGGTCTATGAAACGAACCATTTTAAACGAAAACAATCGCATTGGGAGATTTTTTACTCTCGGAGATTTAACGTTTAGACCAAATTTGTAAGATCTTTGTTACGATCGCAGTGTAGCTTAGAGTGGCGAGGGATATATACGTCATATTTGACACAATCGAGGCAATCGTTCGTGCGCGTAAACTAACACGTTCGATCGATGTCGGATAAGAAGAACTGCTTCGATATTTGAATGTCGCTTGTCGCTATCCGCGAATAATATGGATCGAGTACGTAGTCGATACGCGTGCATCGCGTCGCATCGCAAAGCGGAGAGTTAAACGCGTCCAGTGTTATCCTCTGGTCCCATCGATTCCTTGACAAAGTTTCGTCGCGGACTCGCTTCGAAGAATCGAATTAATCGTCGCTGTCGTTTTTCCAGACAAGGATCCATACCCCATCGACGCGCTGCCTACCTGCAATCATGCGCTGAGCGTCTGTTTACACGGCAAACCGTGCAGTCAGATATTCGACGACTTCAAAAACAACTGCAAAGCGAGGGAGGGCAAGTGCAGGATGGAGAGCCGGTGAGTGAAAACGTCGCATCATTACCATAGTTTATTCTACTTTTGGCGGATCGCGAAAGCGACGAACGCTCGTGGTAGACGAACAGCTCGCGCTGCCGCGTCGCGGCGGTTCACGGTTCGCGTCTCGAGACGACCGTAAGCCTGGATGTCAATATTTACGTGCGCCTCTTCGCGCGCAAAAATGTTTCCCTCGCCCTGGAAATTTCGCCTCGGTACTCTCTCTCTCTCTCTATCCCCCCCCCCCCCTCTCTCTCTCTCACCCTCTCCCTTCTATTCATAATACAAGTTAAAGGAAGCGCAGAGTGCTCCTTTTGAATGTCAATCTAAGAAATAAATTTCTTTGCAGCACGTTGAATTTCGTTCTTTCGTTGCCGTGCGCCACGGCAGCGTTCCCGGTATTCACCGTTCCGCTTAAAAGAGACGAGTAGCGTCCTTTTTTCCAATGTCAGTCGGCTACGCAAGCTCTTTCGCCTTGTTGGCGTTCGGTTTTGTTCGAAATTCGAACTGGAAAACGGGGCAACGACGCTCTCTCCGTAGCGTTGATCGGTCGTTTGTTGCGATGCACTTCTAGAAATTTATCGGGGTGGAAAAGGTAACCGTTTAGCTTCGGTGAACTCGGTTGGAAAGTGACGCGGATAAATCGAACGCTAATTTTATTCGCGCGATTGATTTCGACGAGGTCGGCATCTTCCCGCGTAGTTAAAAGTGGTCCATCCGTTCGGTCCACGCACTCGTAATATTTGTAGTATTCGCGCCTCCCATACCCAAGAAGATGGAGTTGAACGAAAACACGAAACGTAAGGCTCCTACGTATCGTACGTCTTTGCATCGATGGCGAAGCGAAAGAAATTTTAACTGAACGTCAACTACGTAATTTAAGTTTCTTCCCTTATAGCGGAAGGTGTACCGAGGTTAATAGAAAACACGCCGATTTTTTGAAACCATCATTTCGCGACAACCCTTGCAAGCTCCTGATGATAAAAGAAAAATTGCGCGAATAAAGCTCCCGGTGGAACGCTTTTATCTTTTTGCGCGCATTTTCTCAAGATTTAGAACACACGGGGATTAGGCTGTATTTCTGTAGGTTTTTTTTTTTCATCGGGCTCCCCTGCTTCCGTCCCGTCGTAAAGCCATTAACGACCGCTCACGCGTCCACGCACTTTTAATTACAGAAGCTCCTCGCGTGTCGAAACTTTACGGCCGCCCCCCGCGATCTTTCTCTCCCGAGTAATTGCCTCGTATTTTTCTTGTCGTTTTCATCCCTTAATATGCCGTCCGTCGCATGATACGATTATTGTCATTAACGAAGTTCTCCGGCCGGTGAAAACAGGCCAAGCACGACGGCGTACACAAAGCACACAAAAGAAGAGGTAGCACTTTTCCGTTGAAACGACTCGGAATGATTTCCGAGCACGATGCGTCATTTCTCGACAAGGGGTGTCCCGCGTTGCGAGCACTCGGGACGATTTTCAAGCGCAAACGCGTCAACTTGTTAGCCTATTCTGTTTTCTTTTTTCCCTGTAACGCAACGTTCCGGCAATATCCGACAATGCAAATGGCACGATATAACGTCCGTTAAAGAACGACGAAAGAGACGTGAAATCGCGAACAGCGTGGGAATATGCCGTGTTGCTTTCCGTAAAGCCCCGATCCACGCACACGATGATTGCCGCGAGCGACGCCTAAGTAATTTCTTCCTGGAAATGTTGAACCTTCCATCGTTTACAACCGACGCGTGTTTTCTCGCATCCTCGACGTATACCGCAGACAGTTCTACGCGGAACGATTTTTCGCGAGAAATGGACAACGGCAGAATTGTAAAAAGAACGTCGCGACATATCCAAGCTGAACAAGCGAGAAACGTATCGATAGAGTTTAATTAGTCGCGGGGGTCGCCGACGAAACGAGCCAAGTATTCCTGGGACAACAAGTCGAGTGATTTGAGATAAATAACATTCGTTCGGAACAGAATTAAATTACGACGCGACGAGGAGGAAACGCCGGAAAAAGGTTCTCCGCGATTGAATTTTATTTTAATCGAATTGGATATCCAGGGAAATACGGTTATACGCGATATGGTAATTTACGACAAACGACAACGGAATTTATCTCCGCGGCTCGTTCGAACTGCAGTCGGAAGGACAAAGCAAGTTTTTCATCCGATGCGAGACTACCTTCTTTTTAAAGTTCTCGTGTTCGGTTCTCGTGCTTCGGCGTCGCAAATTCCTCGCTTTTCATGGCATCGCCAAAGGAACAAGGTGTTATTTCACGAGGACAAGCAGGGTTCCCGTTGAGGAATTTTTGTACCATCGACAGGATGTAAAGTAAAGGAACGCCGCTAGGTACAGTGGTGCTTTATTGACCCGGTCATGTCCGAAGGGATGCGACGAGATCGCGTACAGATAGCGAACTCGTTACACCATTCCTCCATCGACAATTTTTCCATTTCGTTAATAGAACCAAACACTTACTTCTTCCTAGAATCTGAATCACTCACGAGAGCTACTCTATCGATTCGATTTTTCCAAGTTCTCGGTTTCCCACATATATTTCTAAACGGGTTTTCCCAGAGCGATGAGCATCCATTCGCGCGTAGCCAACGCGAGAAGGAAAGATGCATAATCGTGCTCGCGATAATTCACTCGGGTCGAACTGCAAAATTTACGATCGCTCGTATCCCGTTTCCCTGTAGCCATTTTGCTTGGATCTTCGATCACAGATTAAGAGAAAATTGGCGCAAGGCTGAAGAACGATGATCGGGATACGTTCCCGGTAGGTTTACTTTTATTGGCCGGAACGGGCAGATTGAATTTCAATGTTATTACGAACCGAAATAGAGAAAATGTCGATACGAAAGGGGAGAGAAATACTCGGGAACTTTACGGATTTCCTCTGAATTTAAAAACGTGCACGTGACGCGACTCGCGAGGGGCCCGTTGTTATTTCGTGGTGCCGCTAGCCAGGGAAGATGAAATAGAGTACTACACGGCAGCAGGCTGTCCGATGCGACATCGATAAATTTGTAAAACGACGACGAGGAAATAACGCGCTTACTTCTATTTTTACGTTTGATTGCGATACGCTAGGTTAATACTCGACTCGGTTACAGAGTCATCTTCGCGATTCGAAAAACGACGAGTATCGTCAAGGTCCAATATACACAGGTGCGGGTCGTTGAATTTTATTTCAATCGATCTCCGTCGACCCGGTTCTCGGAAACTGTATCGCTCTCCCTCGAAAGAAATTCCTCCGAGTTCATAACTGTCCCGCGTCCTTTTATTTTGTCGCGGTTGTCGTCGCGTCGCAAATAAACTCCCCAGCGTGCTCGATACTACACGACCGAGGACAATGCTCGGCTTTTCAGAGGGTTTCTTTCTTAGCTGCTCGTAAACCTACAAAGTCCTTCTCCGATTCTCAGGTTTTGCGGAAATAGGGGCCGCGAAAGGCCGAAGTAGCGCGACAAGCCACAATTAACGATCCCGTTAATTAAATTAATGCGTGCCATAAAAGCCGCGGCTCGTTACGAGACTTTCAACGTTTCGCAAGCAAAGGGGACAGAGATACTCGTTAGAGAAGACAAGTGTACATCCGTTCGGTACATAGGCTGAAACACCAAACGTTTCTTACGTGAATATGAGAATGCACTCTATTTCACTCGAGATTATTCGTCCGGTCTAGATGGAAAAGCGCGGGTCGTTGAATGTCGTAAGTTGGAAACGACTTGCAGCGCGCGAGGAGCTCGGAGATACGAAAAACTTATTTCCTATAAATAATCGACCGGCTCGACGAGAATGTCGATTACCGAAATTTATATTAATTAGTGCGACGAGTCGCGTCGTGGTTTCCTAACTCTGTACGATACATTTAACTTGCAAACCTGTAAACCTCTCGGGAACACACAAGATACCAAAATAAAATCCACGCAAAATACCGATCCGCTAAAAGTCACGAGCAAATCGAAAGAGCGCGAGAGGTTCGGAAAACTCGAGATTCGAGATAAATCGAGATCCGCGCGGGCCCGTTGAAATATTTTACAACGAATCTTATTTTAAACGGCGTATCTTGAACGGAACGAAATATTAGTTGCATCCATTCCCGTCCAATTTCTCTACTAGACGCGGTTGAGTCTGAAACCTAAACGAGATACAGGATGGTGAAATGGATAAGGTCCAAGGACACGGGTGTAAATAAATTCTCGTATGACGTTTTATTACAAAGGAGCGAACGGAAGCAGTCGGCAGGTACGAACCGTTTTTTTTTCTCCTTGGTCCGTTGAAGATATTCATTTTTCACGCGGCGTTGCACCATCTTTTCTCGCCGCGGAGTGGATCGTTTCCACGAGAGGACGAACGGAAGAATGCGCTCTCTAAAAAGCTACCACTTTCCGCTCCTTTCGTCCGTCTTGACGAAGACAAACCTGCTTCCATGTTGGCGCGATCCGGTCGTGAGATCCCGGGAGCCGCAGCCCCGGAAGACGCGAGAAAGAAGAAGAGAACGAAAGATAACTACTTACCTTCGGTGGCTCGAGGCGATACTGGTAGTACGCGATAATGAAAACGCTTCTCACGTACGGGAAAGTTAACGCATGGGAACGCCAGGCGAAATTGTAAAGTTTGCGTTACGTTTATAACGTGATCTCAACTTTTGGTGAAGCGACAGTCGAAAATCTTACGACGCCGAAAACGATCGAGGAGAAGCCAGAGATTTAATCTCCCACGCTGAAACGTCGAGTCGAGCTCGTCGCGAACTCTCTTTCTACGAGCAGTTATTTCGAGGAATTCGTATCACGGATTCGTTGTTCGCGGTTTTGAACGCCGTGGAACTCTAACGTGTCGAAAGGCTCGCAACACCGTCGCATAAATTCCTTCAACGATAGAGAACTCGGTAGACAATTTCTTGTTGACCGTTCAAGCGGAGTAGAAAAGAGTCGCTGGCCGCGAGTCGCGTTAAACGCGTTTCCCGCGCCGGGGAAGTAAATGCATAGGAACACACACAGCCCG